CATTAGTGTAACCTCCAAGTTCCTAATCCAGCCCAGTCCCTTGTATGGCTTTTATAATATCGCTCCATTGGGTGTTGGGTTTGGCTGCCATTTTGTTTGGCTTATAGAATCTGTCTTGTGTTACTGTCAGTCAGGGTGTTGGGGAAGCCATTGCATTTGTCTTTTAGTTTGTCTTCAAGTTAATGTGAGTTTTTTTAATCATTTTGGCCAATCTTGACAATTTTACTGGTGACAGGATTTGTATATTATAGAATACACCCATTGTGCTAAAGTGTGATCCTAGACAAGATCATAATGGATCTAATTTAGAAATGCATCTAATTCAACTAATATTTCAGAGGCAGACACTCACTGGTACCCAGAAACAGTCACCATCCTCACCATTGTTCTTACCCCTGTCAGTTAATGGCAACTGTTAAACCCCATTATCCATTTCAAATAAGTGTATATGGCTCAGGGTAAAAGAAAACATAGCACAAATGACCAGGACAAGATGATGAAGCTTCAAGAAATGCCATTTATATTTTCTGTTTTTGTTTCTTTAGATCACAACAGAATATCCATAGGAAGATAACAGCTTTAGGGTGGGCTTATTAAAGTAACCCACAGTGTCTAAACACCCTGCAACAAAAATCAAATACAGTTATCTTCCCTAACTTCCTACCTACCACAAACCCAGGAGAAAAGAATGACTTTAATAAAGAAAAAGACACCCACCCCTACCCTTCATTAAGAGAAATGTACATACTGGCTTCAGGTTGTTCTTGTACAGGTCGACACCCACTTAGATAATGTAGACACTCTCAAAATACTTAACAGATAATCTAATAGTTAAGGTTAATAAAGGTTTAATATGCCAGCTAAAATTAGGACAGTCTCTACATTAACAACAGGTGCTGGTGTGTTTAGTCTGATTTGAGTGCAGATTTCAGAGATGTGTAACAAACTTCAGTGTGAAAACAGACATTTCCATTCATAGTCCTCTCACACTGATGCTCCTCAGAACAGCCCACCTGATCAGAGAGAGAGACAGAGAGAGAGTTTATTAATGAGGTTGCAGAGTCTAGTCCAGTATTTCTTAATCCTGGTCCTGGAGGCCCACTGGCTCTGCACTTTTTAATGTTTTTCTTGCTCCCAACACACCAGATCCAACTAATCAGCTCATTTACTGCCAATTATTGAGTTAAAGTTGGTGTGTTAAAACAGAAAAAGCTCTAAAGGAGCAGAACAGTGAGTCACCAGGACCAGGATTGAAAAGTGCTGGTTTAGTCAAATAATATGTCCACTAGTAGGTGCTCTGGGCAGTCATGCACCTCTGTTGGCTGAGTCCAAAAGTAAAATACAACAAAAATTCTTCTGCAGTGTATATCCGCCTCAAATAGCAGCATCTTCCACTAGTCCCAACAATCAAACCACTAAGAATACACTTTTTTATTATGATAATGACAACAAGTCAATCAGCAGCTATTTTTTAATGGTTTGTCAACCAGTAAAAACAACTAATGCACTACCAGTAACTATAACTGTCAATAACCACAGGATCAATTAAAGGTTTATCTACATATAATGAGGATGTTTCTACCTGAAATGCATTTTCAGTCAGTAGTTCTCTTCTCTCTTTAGGACCTGGAAATAAACCAAAGAGAACCATCAGCATCAGTTCATCCAGTGTAGAAAGATGCTGTGAAGAGATGATATCTTTCTTTGGAAATGCTGCTTCATCATAAGAATTTGATCCATGTGATTTGTATAGGGCAGAGAGGTTAATTTAATTTCAAATGCATTTGGTTTTATCTTAAGCCACTTATGGTTTATAGGCAAAAGTAACATTAGGAGTCTTCTCCAAGGTCTCTTATTGTGGTAGTGTGGTGTGGTTCCCCAGGCAGGAAATCGAACCCCAGTTTGCAGTGTGGAGGACAGTAGTGTTGCCCAATATGCTACACCAACACCTGCAGCATCTTGAACAGGGTGGCTGGCCACACCTTAGTCCCGCAGCGCAACCATGAGAAACTTAGTGTTAGGTGTGTGTGTGTGTGTGTGTGTGTGTTTGGGCTTAACAAGGTGGGAACCAACTGAGGGTGAAATTTCTAAACCAACCCAACGCCTCTTAAAGGCAGAGCTTAATGTATGTGGCACTGAGGCACTTAGTTTGTTATTAGCACATGCATGTAACCTAAGTTAGCATGGCTAAAAAAAGTCCCCCAAAAATGTGTGTTACATGTGCAGAGAGCAGATTACAAGCAGTAGAAGGTCTCACTTATATTGTGTCTCTAATAGTAATATGCAGTTACACTTTAACAATGCATGCAACTATAATGTAAGTACTGGTGATGAATTCACTGATACAGATTGATTACAGTAGTACAGCTTATGTGAACAAAACTGTGTATCAATGTTTTTACTCATGTAATTGCACAAGCGTATAAAACAGCATATTGTAACAACCTACTAATTACCTAATGATTATCTTATGCAATTAGGCATGCAAAATAGGGTGAACTGCTGTTTTTCCAACAACACATTTCTGAATGTAACAGGAGGGATGTAATTATATGGACAGAAGATGTATAAGTGTAGCTTTTATGTGATTATGCATTTATGTAATTTGATGTAATTTCTAACTTTTGGCTTGTTAAGAATTTAAATAAGAGGTATGCTGTTATAGCGATCAAGATACGCATGTGTAATTACAAGAGTAAAGTTGTGCATTTACATAAATATTTACATGCATTTACATGTAATTGCATGTATTGTAAATGTGTAACTACACAGTTATTAGAGACAATTAATATGAAGACTAAAATAAGCACATTTTTAAATATTTTTCAATTAAAGACCTACTTCTAAAGAAAAACAAAAAGAAAATCTTTTAAAATCTGTTAAAATATTATACTTTGGCCAAAGAAAACATCACTGGACTGGTGGACTTTGGGTTGGGTGTTGGAGGAGGCATGCCCTTGGCTGCACTGGATTTTGTCACAATTCAGCATTAAAAGTTTGAAAAGTTGCCTCAGATGTGTGATCTCATTAGAGGATTACATCTGGTCCCATAAGACTAGATTACATTCATACATGAAGATCTTTCTATTATTCAATAACCCACAATCAGTGTACAGTTTTGACTTTACTCTATTTTCTAACAAAGTCGAAGTTTAAGTACATAACAGAGGACAAAAACTGAGAGCAAAAGAACTGATTCTGATGCAGCACATGTTAATAAAGCTAAACGTATACTGTTACATGGAATACATTTAGTTCAATTAGTGGTATAGTTTAAAACATTTGAGTGAGAAAGATAAAGAAATAAACAGTGAGACTGAGTAAGGAACAGAGACTACCTTTATTTGTGTATCTGCAGATGCAGAACACACAGGTGGAGGAGAGGAGAACACACACAGGACACACACTGACCAGCAGCTTCCAGCAGACACTACAGTCTGACACAGTAGAGGTGGGGGTGGTCTGGGGAAGATGAGCGCAAGGGACTGAAATAAGTGAGAAAGTGTAAATTGATTAAAGGAGGAGAACATTACTGACAGACAGAACTGAAGCGAACTCAAACTATTCTGCTTGTCAAAACATATAAGATCATACAAAAACAATGTTCTTTTGGCTTTATTCTTAACATCATAAGCAACTGTAGATCAGAATGAGTGATCTCACCAAGGAGAGAGAGTCGAGTGATTCTTTTTCCGTAGTGATAAATATCCTCATTGTGTATAACTCCCTTTACATCTTTGGTGATGTTTTTCTCCTCTATAGCGCAGTAGTACAGACCCAGATCTGATTCAGTGACGTTCTTCACCAGCAGATCATTAGTTTGGTTGGAGGGATTCCAAACAGCAGAGTAACGGGGATGAGCACCACGCATCAATTCTTCTGGCGAAATCTTGAAAGGTGATTCAGATCTACATGAGGAGTTTCTAAACCAAACCGTATGAAATCCACTCTTCCAAGCACAGTCGCTGTAGAGAGTGACGTCGTCTCCTGGTCTGACTCTCATCTCCACTTCTGCTCCAGAGATCCTGGAGAACAAAACATCTACAAACACACCAAAAAAAGAAGAATAATCTCACATAACTTTACACAACAGACTCACATATAAAGTGTGACTAATGATTCACTAATGAACAAGTGAATCACAAACCAGTTAAGAAACTGATCAGATGTAAAAGTTTACTTACAGACTAAAGTGATGAGAACAGCTCTTGATCTGTCCATCTCAGAGACTGGTGCTGGGGGTCTGATGATGGTGAGGGTCTTTGAAGCGGATGTCTGTGCTGAGATCTGATTGGTCCACGTCAGTGGAAAATTTCTGTCAGCATTATGTATCACAGGCGTATACGTAACCACATGCGGAAACAACAGCAGCCAATCACAGGCTTCGCATTGGTCATCTTTCTTAGAAGAGCCTTCAAAGATGTTGTCTCTGATGTCTGATTGGTCCACGTGAATGGAATATTTCTCTTGTCTGAATGTGTTATGAGCAGGTTTGGGGTGAGGGTGAAGACACTGCAGGGGCCTTTGTTAAACCGACTTCCTGTTTCAAGTCAAGATAACAAGAGACGGTTAATTCAGCCTTTCTGTACCTCATAAACAGATTAATATTGCTATGGTCACTAAAGTCACTAAAGAAGGGATTAAAAGTGTGTAACAAACAAATGCACAACTAAAATGTACATTTTAAGACCAGCAACCATTTTTACATGCATTTCATATCCATTAAACTTGCTAAATGAGAGGTCACTTCAAACTTTACACAGTTTTAATCCAATCAAATCCAGCAGCACTGAAATAAGAGAATCATAAAAAGAGCTAGTAGAGTGCAGAGAGCTGATTGTGTGGCTCTGACTGGTGAAAAACTCTTTATATATGGGTTCTAGATAAATTTAGTACACTGAGAGTGCCTGAAAGTTAGGCCTAACCCATTTAAAGCAGATCTTCTATCAGTTATTAATGGCTGTCAGTGTTCAGGGCCTCAATGTGGGTTTCCTGTTGTATCATGGCTGCAGTTTGTTGACTGCAGAGTGTCTAGTGGGGAGGGGAGGAGGAGAGATGTTTATTTTATTTAATATACTAATCTCCTTGATTTTTTCACTGTCATGGACGATGAGAGTCACCCTTGATCTCTCCATCTCAGAGACTGGTGCTGGGTGGGTGATGATGGTGAGGGTCTTTTGAAGCAGATCTCTGTGTTTAGTTCTGATATCGTCCATGTCAGTGGAACATTTCTTGCTGCCTATGAAATGTTATCACTGTATTTCAGACATGATCACATGCAAAAAACACACAACACAACTACAGGTTTTGCACTGGTCAACTACTTTGTAGTTCTAGGTGATTAACGCACCTGATTGGTCCATGTGAACACAATATTTCTCTTGTCTGAATGTGATATGAGCAGGTTTGGGGTGAGGGTAAGGAGACCATGAGGGACTTTGGTAAACCAATTTCCTGTTTCCATACAAAATTACAACAGAAAACAGGTTAGTTTAGCCTAACAGTAACATCACTACACTCCATAATAAGTGAGACTAAAAAGGGACTAAGAAATCAAACAAATCCACCATAAAAAAAACATTTTACTACTATTCATGGTATTTGTATTTTTAGCACTTTAAAATAATTGATTAATTGCATATACAAATGCAAATTTCAAATTCCAGTCAAATCCAGGATGACTGAAATATGAGCCATATAGAAGAGGAAGAGTGAACAAAGGGCAGAGAGCTAAGTAGGTAGACTTTGGGTGGAGAGCAGCAATTCATACACAGGTTCTTGATCAATACTTTTGCAAGGCCTGAAAGTGAGGCCTAACCGACATACAGCAGATCTTCAATCAGTCAGTAAAGGCCGTCAGAGTGCAGGGCCTCTTTGTGGTTTTCCTGTTGTAGTGTGACTGCAGAGTATCTAGTGGGGAGGGGAGGAGGACAGTTGTTATCTGATATACTAAGCTACTTGATTTTTTCACTGTCACTGAAGTTTCAGTGAGTTTTTTTACACATGAGAGTGATGAGAGTGACTACTGATCTCTCCATCTCAGAGACTGGTGCTGGGGGCAGATGATGCCTAACATACATACAGCAGATCTTCTATCAGTCAGTAAAGGCAGTCAGAGTGCAGGGCCTCTTTGTGGGTTTCCTGTTGTAGTGTGACTGCAGAGGGTCTAGTGGGGAGGAGGAGAGTTACATAGCTTAGATTATTTGATACACTAAATAATCACTTTTTTGTCCGTTATCATGGATACTTTGATTTTGTTTTGTGTTGTTTGTGGGTTTTTGAACTTTCCTTACAGGGTTTTCTTTTAATAACTGTGCAACCAACAGAGAGACCATTAGAAAATAAAGCTATTTATGTCTTTTAACCCTCTGTGGTTACAAACACACCTGTGCATCAAATTCGATGTTTCTATATATGTTTCTCTATATTTGTGATGATACAGCACAGAAATATGGTTCAAACATTTCCTGAATTTGTAGAATCTCATCATGAGATCGTACGTGACTCACTTTCAGAGTTATGAGCCTATGAAGAGGGGCTGAGATACACGTCATCTGCCTCACACCTTGTGTACTTGGTGAATTTGTGTGTCCGTCTACATTTTATGTGAAACTGACCAAGAGACACTCTGGAAATCAGTAAGCATTGACCCGTCACACTGGAAACCCTTCATTCATCATTCAGTCCACATGGCGTGCAGAGAGTTTACAGCTGCTGAAGTTGCTGCAGGGGTTTTGGAAAGTAGTGATGAAGATAAGAGATGGATATTATATTATATGGAAGAGACTTTCAAGGAGAATTTTAGAAAATATGCAAATATCAAGGGTTAATCTACTTTTCACTGTGAATGACATGAGTTCTTAATTCAGTCACTATTTATTTTGGTATGTAGAAGTTCTAGAAGTGCGGAATAAGAAGGTGCTAGAAGAATTAACATGGAGTCAGAAGGTGCTAGAAAAGTTATGGTGGAATCACAGACTTAGAAGAGCTAGTGTGAAATCAGAAGATGCTGGAGTTAGTTTCAGAATCAAAATGTTCCAGGAGAGTTAGGATGGAGAGTTCGGGTGATACTAGAAGTGGTGTGGAGTTGGATTTAGGTGATAATCTACCATTCAGAGCAGGAAAATATAAGAACCAGTTTCCATAAATGTGTCTATAGTGATGTAACTTGTGCTCTGAATGTGTGCAGCTGATCACTCAGACACTGTCAAAGTCCATCCAACAATAAAGGCAACCTGGAGCTTCTATTACACAGTCACAGCAATCAGCTCACAGAAAACTCCAAGTCCACATGCTGATCTTTTTCACTATGACCAACCTGGACAACAAGGATCAACTACTCTGTGTATTTTAATAATAGAAAGGGAAAAACACACCAGATGACAGATGAGATTTTACAACAAACTTATAAAGTCAACCACAAGTCACTGAGTTATGACTGTGTGCTTAAATGAGGAGTCAGTTCCTGTCCGTGGTGCTGAAACACTGCTGTTTGTGATGTGAAGCTGTACTGGTGTTATGGGAGTAAAGTAAAGAGAGTCTCAGCACAAACGGTGGTAAAACCTCTGCTTTCAATTTAGCCAGACGACTTTCTGATTGATGCCTATTTTCAGCCATAAACCAGGTCACTGTCAGCAGAAGAGGTTTAGCCATGTCTTCTAAAATTCCTCTTCAGAATGTGTGACCTACTAACCCAGTGACCCAAGACATCCTTTCTCTAACAGCAAACCACAGAGTTTAAGCTGTAGGTTATGGACACATCAGCGAAGCTGAAAGGATTTACAGATAATAATCTCTAACTATTTTAATAATAGTTATTTATTAATGTATCATTTTTTCTGTTGGTGCTTACAAATAATCCCAAGTTTAAAGAAACCTTGAAAATAAATGTAGAAACAAAGGAAATTATGGGATATACAGGAGCAGTGACTGTAATAAGGTTTCTATATTTTTATCATATTTTATCATATTATGAAGTGTACATAATCACACATCACATAACAATTGTGAAATGTCAGTCTTGACCTTTCTGAGTTTTGTTTCGTTTAAGCCAAATACTGATGGGAAATTCAGTTCCGCCCCATCAGCAAAACAATTGCATCCCAAGATGTTTTTTGGTGTCCGTATATTATATTTGATCAGTTTTAACCTCAGAATATGTACTGAAATCAAAGCTCTCAACTCTCTTCTTCTTTTTCTTCAGCTGCTTCTGTCCTCGGACGTCCAATGATGCATAACAAACTTCATCTTCTTCTACCTACAATGAATTTAAAAAAAAAGTGTTGCACATGTTTTATTGTGTTAAATTGATTCAGAATGGATTAAGAAAAAGAAGAAAATGTGTCATTTTTCAATTCATCTCAAAATTAAATTAATATTTACTTCTACAAGGTTTTGTACAACATACATTTCCACAAAGCAGCTTTAAAACAACATCCAAGCTCCTAATGAATAAGCAGAGGGTGACAGTTTCAAGCAAAACCTTGTCCCCCTGTCCCCTCTGAACCACTGAGAGGAACCAAGACTCATACATACAGTCCCTCTTTAATACAGTCTTCCATTTGAAGTAACTGTGCTGCAAGAATGAATCTGGCTGAACTGATAAGTTTATCTATGTATCATCAAAAGAAGCATTATGTTTGTTGGTTACATGTGTCAGATGATGTCAGTAGACTGAAAACAATAGGGGCCCTAAAACGAAACCCTGTGGGACACAATAAGGCATGTATATATGTCTATGTGAAAATGGGCAACCACACATATTTCCATTAAAGTTCATAGCAAAGCTGTTTATGTGTGATTGTGTAGGTATATTCACGTTGTGTGTTAGTATTTTTCAGTACCTCCTCATTTGTTCTGCTTTTCTGACTCTGTATTTTGTTCCTCCATTCCTGACCAGATTCTGCTTCTGCTATAGTTGAAAACATTACGTATTCATATGAAGTTATTATAACCAAGTTAGACTCAATATCTAAGAATCTAAGAGTTTGGTGATAATCCAACTCCAGTTAGCAATGTTAACTCAGCATTTCCTGCTGTAAAGTACAGAAGTAGATGTCGGATATAATTTCTTATTTATTATTTCTTAATTTCTGATCAACTGCATCTCGGCTAAGTGATGAATTATGTTAGTTTGATTTTTCTCACATTCCTTTATTCATTTAATATTCCGTTAAACTTTCAGACTTCTAGAACATCCTAATTCATTCATTCAGAGAGATGTTATTTTAGAAACAATTTCAGTAAGAATTGATCAGGAGAATCAGTGAGAAAGTACCTTTAGTTTTGTTGATGCAGATGCAGTACACACAGGTGGACGAGAGGAGTGAGGAGAAAAGAACACAAACAGGACACACACTGACCAGCAGCTTCCAGCAGACACTACAGTCTGACACGGGGGTGGTTTGGGCAAAAGGGACTGAAATAAGATAGGAAGTGGAAATTAATCAGAGCAGGAGAACATTTGTTGTCTGAGCTGATAGAACTCAAGCCAGCTCATGAAACATTTCACACTCATGTTAAATAAAAATAAAAAAAAAATCCCCATGTAACAAGAAACAATATGTCAGAAAGAATCATCTTACTGAGGAGAGAGAGACGAGTGGTTCTGTTTCCATAATGATAAACATCTTCATAGAGTATAACTCCAGTGTCATCTTCTGTAATCTTTCTCTCATGTATAGCGCAGTAGTACAGACCCACATCTGAATTAGTGACGTTCTTCACCAAGAGATCATGAGCTTGGTTGGAGGAATTCAACACAGCAGAGTAACGTGGAAGATCACCACGCATCAAAAGTTTTATCGATATAATGAGACGAGGTTGATGCTCATGTGAGCAGTTTCTAAACCAAACTGTATTAAATCCACTCTTCCAAACACAGTCGCTGTAGAGAGTGACGTCGTCTCCTGGTCTGACTCTCATCTCCACTTCTGCTCCAGAGATCCTGGAGAACAAAACACCTGAAACACACAAAACTTAAAAAGATGATCTCACATAACTTTACAGTACAGTCTTTTTTAGAAAGGCTGTGGTGTGAAGAGTTGCTTCATATATAAAAGCAAATCAGTCCCAAATAAGAATAATGTAACATAAGAAAGACGTAAAGTTACTTACAGACGAGAGTCATGAGAGCAGCTCTTGGTCTCTCCATCTCAGAGACTGGTGTTGGGGGCTGATGACGGTGAGGGTCCTTGAAGCGGATGTCTGTGTGAAGATCTGATTGGTCCACATCAGTGGAAAATTTCTGTTTACATTATCAGTATATCTGGGACGTATACGTATCCACATGCAAAAACAACACCAGCCAATCACAGGCTTCGTATTGGTCACCTTTCTTAGAAGAGCCCTCAGTGTAGTTGTGTCTGACATCTGATTGGTCCACGTGAATGGAATAAATTTGGGGTGAGGGTTATGAGACGATGGGGGACTTTGGTAAACCAACTTCCTGTTTCCATTCAAACTGACTAAAGTTGGTTAGGTCAGTCTTTCTGGAGCACATAAACAGATTTACAGTGTTACGCTCAACCATAACAGGCGCTAAAAACGGATTGAGCCCCATAAAAGTTTATTTCAAGACCTTTTAACATATTACATTTGTCTAATAAGAGCTCACTTCAAAATACACAGTTACTTCCAATCAAACACAGCACCACTGAAACAAGAACCATATTAAAGAGTTTTAATTTATCAGCAAAGTGAAGAAACTGATTTGGTGGATCTTTCTGGAAAACAGTCATATACAGGTCTTAGGTCAGTCTAATTCTTTGCCCCAGCCCAAAAGTGAGGACAGGCATGAAACATATATACAGCAGATCTTCTATCAGTCAGTAAAGGCAGTCGGAGTGCAGGGCATCTTTGTGGGTTTCCTGTTCTAGTGTGACTGCATGTCTGGAGGAGGAGACTTACATAACAGTTTATCTGATAGACTAGCCAACCACATTTGTCTGGTCTAGTTTATTTTGTGTTCTTTGTGATTATGTTTCACTTTGTGATTATGTTTTACGTTTCCCTGCAGCCGGGGAGTTTCACAGTCACAAGGCTGAGGACTCTGCTAGCAGAGAGACCTTCCTCCACAACTGAAGACTTTCCCCAGGCATGCTGGCATAGAGAGCTTTCCTTGCAGCTAAGGGTAAAATTTTCTTTGTGTGTATAAAAAACAACGCAAACTGGCTGAGTTACCGTTAAATTGTAAAAAAAAAAGTTGTAGGAGTCTGGAACTGGGTAAGATATTTGAGTATGAATGGTGCAGGGAAAAAATTGTGTCAAATCCACCATATAACAGCAACAATTTTATATATTAGATTTGCCAAATAAGAGGTCACATCAAACTTCACACACTTTACAAACTTTCATCAAATCAAATTCAACACCACTGAAATAAGGGATGCATAAAAGAGTCCTTCTGCGTTTTTATAATACAGATTGAGTGGTTCTGACTGGTAAAAAGCCTTTTTTATACAGGTCCTAGATACATATAGAACACTAAAAGTGCTTGAAAATTAGGCCTAACTGATATGATACAGATCTTCTATCAGTTATTATTGGCAGACCTCATTTTGGGTTTCCTCTTGTACCGGGCAGCAATTTGTTGACTGCAGAGTGTCTAGCGAGGAGGGGAGATGTTTGTTTAGTCTGAAATCTTAACCTCCTATTTTTTCTCACTGTCATGGAGGCTCTGCTTTTTATGTCACTGGCATGTCTACATCATCTTGGATCCTAAACCTTTTGTCCACACCAGCCCTGCACAACTAGCAAAAAGGGGTTTATATAGTACCAAGAAACTATTATATGATCATAATAATGGTAGAGCCCTTTTTTTTGGGCAATATAGAACCATTTTTGAACAATTTTTGCATTCAATTGTTCTTTGAGTTGTCAAAGTTACATAATCACTGCTGTTGTTAAAGAAGCCTTGAGGAACCATCTTTTTAATGGTGTTGTTTGTCTTATTACCACAATGACTTGTGGAAAACCCTTATTAAAGCTAACTCAAGCCTGTTTTAGCTGCCCTCAGTAACAGAATATTTGGAGGCTACAACACAGCTTCTCCTTTTCCACTCCCACAGTCCTGCAAACGGCTAACAAGCCACCCTGTCTTTCTTATCTCTAGTTCTTTCGGTCCATCAATTTCTGCTGCTGGTCCAGTTCTTCCAGCCCTGATGCTGAAGCTCCTTTGGCTTTTGCTGACCCTGCCTTTCTGGCCTTTGGTATGTCAAAGTCCCTGGTTTAGTTCCTGGTTGCTGTGCACATGCTACCATAGACTAAAAAAGGCAGCGTCACTAGACGCACCAGAGCAGGGGGGCCCAATCCTGGTCTATGAAAGCTCTCACCTTGGAGAGTTTAGATCCAACACACCTGGCTCTATTATTCAGATGACCCGAAAGACCTTCATTACCTGGATCTGGTGTGACAGACTATAGTTGGAGCTAAACTCTGCAGGGTGGTAAATCTTTAGAACCAGGATTGGGCACTCATACTCTGGGGCCTTAGTCATTGCTGCTGTTTCGGTTGACCATGCTTACCACTGCCAAAGAAGAACTCACTAGCATCTTCTCCTGTTCCCCTTCTTTCCAGTTCTTTCCAGTTCTTTCCTGTCCTTCCATGTAGAATGAACTCCCCTGGTCTTTTCATTGCGTTTTGTGTGGTTAGATTTCCATCAGTCTTAAACATTCACGTCAGAGGTATTTAACTGTTGACCCAGACTGTGATCATTACATAGTTGAGCTGATATCTGGTTCACTTTTTGACTAGTTTGAATTGTGATTTGGCGTCTCAGAGTGATCCTAGCCATTTTGAACCTGAACGGTATTTGCACATGTTGTATATATTCTTTCCTGTGTTTGTTTGGTCATGTAGCCTCGTTGAGGGTTGACTGACATTTTGTTTGCATTTTGGGTATTGGCTCACGTTTCTGTCAGTCAGGGAGTTGGGGGAGCCGACACTTGTTTGTCTTTGATTTAATTAAGTTTAGTTTCTGTGTTTAGAAGTGAGTTTTATTATTTTGGCTTTGGCCAAACCTGACTTTTCACCAGTGACACCACCTGAACATTGTAGAACACACATTTATTTCACTGTACAGAATATTTAGTTAGTCTGCCTGATTATTTTCACATTTTTACAAGCAAACACATTCACAGACACCCACATGCTCAGAAATGTGTAAGTGTGAAACCTTCATCATACATGGTTTGGGTTAAAAGAGAACATAACATAAAAAAGACCAGGACAAGACAGTTTCAAGTAATTATGTCTGTATATTTCCATTTCTTTAGCTCACTCCAGAGATAACTGATTCAGTGTGGGCTTTCCACCCAAACTACAAACATAACCACAAAGCTTACTGACGCAACTACATTGAAGCAAAAATCAAAAGAAAAATAGTTATTTTCCCTCACTCCCAGCTATAATAACACAAGACAAAGGATAACTTTAAAAAAGGACACAGCACCCACGCGTATTCTTCTTTAGGAGACATGTACATATTTACTCCAAGTTCTGCTTATAGAGGTCAATCCCTACTTAATGTAGACCCTCTCAAAACGCTAAACAGGTAATCTCATAGTCAAAGGTCAGTATACCATCTGAAAACATGCAAACTGAAGACATTACAAAGTTTCTATGTTAACAAAAGCGAAGCAAGCAAAGGCCACATGGTGCCACCTCAAGAACACCCATATGGCTGGTGTCCTTTTCAGGTGTGCACCATCAGCTGTCCACCAATCAGGAACAACCTCATCCTGAACAGCGGGAACATTCTTTTGGGGAGAAATGTCACCATAGGAGTAGGAAAAGACAAACAACAACAGTATCTGTTCTGGGATGTAAAAATCACATTGAAATCCACTGATATCTGTTGCTTCTCTTTATGGATGAGATTGTGTACAGTCTTGCCACAATCTGAACAACTAGCCATGTTAATTAGATGAAAATTACATCAAATAAGTCCATTTTTAAACAGCAGAATGAATAATCAGATTGAAATAATATGCCATGTGTGATTGAGGTGGGTGGAGGAGGTGGGTGTGTTTAGTCTGATTTAAGTCCAGATTTCAGAGATGTGTAACAGACTTCAGTGTGTAAACAGAACCCTCCATTCATACTCTTCTCACACTGATGCTCCTCAGAACAGCCCACCTGATCAGAGAGAGACAGAGAACTTATCATTAGGGGTTGCATAGTCTATTCGACTAATAGATCCACTAGTAGGTGCTCTGGGCAGCTGAGCTAAGTAATGAAGTGCTGTTTTGCAGTTGCATAGGTAGAAATAAATGTTTGGGGGAGACCTGTGAAAAAATTGGTAGGTCAACATGATAGATACAATTGCCAAATGCACTAGTGTCCTGCAATGTCATTACACTAGGCTGTAGGCTATTCCTGACAGCCATGTAGTCAACACCCTGCCTATTCCATCGATTCCCCACTTAAACACAACACTTGCAATCAATCAGACTGCTGGATTCACATAAACGCACCCAACACTGTGTCACACTTCCATTCACCACAGGCACATTTGCCCAATGAAGGCTAAAGCATACTGACACAGCAGGCAGAACCACAGAAGACAACATGACTATGATAAAATCAGACAGGTGAGGTGTGCAAGCACAAGAAAAAGGACACCAAACTTAGATAAACAAACTTATTGTAGGCTAAAGCATGCTGCCACAGCAGGCAAGAGAATGTTTAGGGTTGACATTGATGACTCTATGAACTGAAGTAATGTTAGATTTTGACATTTTTTTCACAAAACTGACTTCAGCTTTGTAGTAAAAGAGCATTGTAAGTACGAAATTTGTGGAAAAAATTAAACTGCAACTTTTTTAAAATGTTTTTGGCTGTGGACAGGTAGAAAATTGACACACACTGTAAGACAGAGTTTTCCACTTTTAAATGTGCCCAGTTACATCTTTTAACCACGGTTGGAGCTTCAAATTCAAACACTGGTGCACAGATCACATTTCCAAATATGTTAAATTCATTAAATAAACAAAAAATGTGCAGAAGTGCATTCTCTGTAGAGAATGTGTTAACTTATTTTCACTTAGAAAATCAACTAAGCATGGAATTTGACCAAACATTGTTCCAAGTTTTGCATACAACTGTATCTCTCTCTGAAAGGTTCACTGCTCATTGGTCTTTAGGCATGATAATTTCTTGCTGCTGCTTTAAGCTTAATAAACAATAATTTTTCATCAGATTGATAAAACCAATGTATGGAAGCATGAATAGCTGCAAGAGAGAAGATTATGATATGTGCAGTGTTTTAGCAAGTGTTATACATCAGACAGTGTGTAACATCCGAGCCCAAGACGAACAGAAATACAACAAAAAATCTTCTGCAAAGCACATCCGCCTTAAATAGCAGCACCGCTAGTCCCTAAAAGCAAACTACTAACAAACTACTGTTCATTCCAGATCACTTTTTTTCTTACAATGGTAAAGAGAATTTCTCAATTAGTAAAAATCACTAATGCACTACAACCAGTATTAACCACAGGTTTGTGTACATATAATGAGGATGTTTCTACCTGAAACACATTTCCAGTGAGTTGTTCTCTCCTCTCTTTAGAACCTGAGGAGATAAACCAAAGAGAACCATCAGCTTCAGTTTATCCAGTGTAGAATAATGCTGTGAATAGAAGACATATTTCTTTGTAGATGCTGCCCCATCATTAGAACGTGATCCATCTAACAGATGTGTGCTGCAACAAATTGTATGTATTCTGTCACTCCAGCAGAGTGAAGGCAAAGTGAGAGTGAACTTTCTAAACCAAACACCTCGTGAAGGAAGAGAGAGATACCAAAAATACTAATAATCATAACATGGAGATCACTGAGCACAGAGACATCTAATTACTGTTGTTGTCCAGGACACTCGAGTGAGTGAATGGTAGAGAGATAATGAGTGAAAATGAGAAATAAAGAGAGAGAGTACCTTTTAGTTGTGTATCTGCAGATGCAGTACACACAGATGGAGGAGACAACTGAGGAGAGGAGAACACACACAGGACACACACTGACCAGCAGCTTCCAGCAGACACTACAATCTGATACAGGAGGGGTGGAGGGGGTCTGCGCAAAAGGGACTGAAATAAGCATGTGCAATAAGAATGTGGAAATTAATCAAGGTAGAACATTTATTGACTGAGCAGATAGAAGTCAAGCAAACTCATGAACCAATCTACATTCATGTTAACTAAAAAAAATCCCGTTGTGATGAGAAACAATGAGAAAGAGTGATCGTACCGAGGAGAGAGAGTCGAATGGTTCTGTTTCCATAATGATAAATATCTTCATAGAGTATAACTCCAGTTTCATCTTTGGTGACCTTCTTCTCATGTACAGCACAGTAGTACAGACCCAGATCTGATTCAGAGACGTTCTTCACCAGCAGATCATGAGTTTGGTTGGAGGAATTCAAGACAAGAGAGTAACGTGGAAAATCACCACGTATTAATAATGCTGTCAATATAATGAGAGGAGGTTGATGCTCATGTGAGCAGTTTCTAAACCAAACTGTATTAATTCCACTCTTCCAAACACAGTCGCTGAAGAGAGTGATACTGTCTCCTTGTCTGACTCTCAACTCCACTTCTGCTCCAGAGATCCTGGAGAACAAAACACCTGCAAACACACAAAACTGAAAAAGATGATCTCACATAACTTTACAGTACAGTCTTATTTAGAAAAGCCGTGGTGTGAAGAGTTGCTTCATATATAAAAGCAAATCAGTCCCAAATAAGAAAATATGCTGTAAGATGAAAATGAAAAGATGTAAAAATTACTTACAGGCGAGAGTGATGAGAACAGCTCTTGATCTCTCCATCTCAGAGACTGGTGTTGGGGGGCTGATGATGGTGAGGGTCTTTGAAGTGGATGTCTGCATTCAGATCTGATTGGTCCACGTCAGTGGAAAATTTCTTTCTACATTAACAGAAAATTGTGGACCTGTACATAACCACATGCAAAAACACCACTAGCCAATCACAGGCTTCGTATTGGTCATCTTTCTTAGAAGAGCCTTCAATGTTGTTGTCTCTGATGTCTGATTGGCCCATGTGAACAGAATGTTTCTCATCTGAATGTGTTATGGGCAGGTTTGGGGTGAGGGTGAAGACACTGCAGGGGCCTTCGTTAAACCACCTTCCTGTTTCAGTTCAAAATGAAGAGATGGTTAATTCAGCCTTTCTGTACGTCATAAACAGATTAACATTGCTATGGTCACTAAAATCACTAAAGAAGGGATTAAAAGTGTGTAACAAACAAATGCACAACTAAAATGTACATTTTAAGACCAGCAACCATTTTTACATGCATTTCATATCCATTAAACTTGCAAAATGAGAGGTCACTTCAAACTTTACACAGTTTTAATCCAATGAAATTCAGCAGCACTGAAATAAGAGAGGCATAAAAAGAGTGTAGAGAGCTGATTGAGTGATTCTGACTGGTGAAAAGCTTTGTACATACAGGTCTTAGGTAATTTAGCACACTGAGAGGGCGTAAAAGTTGGGCCTAACCAATCTTCTATCAGTTACTAATGGCAGTCAGTGTTCAGGACCTCATTGTGGGTTTCCTGTTGTATCGTGGCTGCAGTGTGTTGACTGCAGAGAATCTAGTGGGGAGGGGAGGAGGACAGTTGTTTATTTTATCTGATATACTAATCTCCTAGTCACTCTTATCACTCTCATGTGTAAAAAAAAAAAACAGTGAAACTTCAACGACAGTGAAAAAATCAAGTATGTTATTATCAGATATGCAAATCTCCTCCTCCCCTCCCCACTAGATACTCTGCAGTCAGACGACAGCAGGAAACCCACAGAGAGGCCCTGCACTCTCACTGCCTTTACCGACTGATGGAAGATCTGCTGTATGTGGGTTAGGCCTCTGATTAGTCCAAGTCAGTCGAACATTTTTTGCAGCCTATGAAATGTTATCACTGTATTTCAGACATGATCACATTGAAAAAACACACAAGACAATTACAGGTTTTGCATTGCTCATCATTATGTGTAGATGTAGATGATTCTCGCACCTTATTGGTTCACAAGAACACAATATTTCTCTTGTCTGAATGTGTTATGAGCAGGGGTGGAGTGAGGGTGAGGAGTCTGCAGGGGACTGTGATGAACCAATTTCCTGTTTCCATTCAAAATTACAACTGAAAACAAGTTAATTTGGCATTTCTCCACCATAAATAACATAAAAAATGGACTGATCAACCTCAAACATTTGCCAAGCCTGAAAGTGAGGCCCAACATATATACAGCAGATCTTCTGTCAGTCAGTAAAGTCAGTCAGATTGCAGGGCCTCTTTGTGGGTTTCCTGTTGTAGTGTGACTGCAGAGTGTCTAGTGGGGAGGAGGAGAGTTACATAGCTTAGATTATTGGACACACTAAATAATCCCATTTCTTTCCATTATCATGGACGCTTTGATTTTCCAGTTTTGTTTTGTGGTGTTTGTGGGTTTTTGAACTTTCTTTACAGAGTCTCTTAGATTAATTGAGCGACCAACAGAGAGACCATTAGAAAATGAAGCTATTTCTGTCTTTTAACCCTCTGGTGTCCACAAACTCACCTGTGCACCAAATTCTATGTTTCTCTATATGTTTCTCTGTATTTGTGACAATACAGCACAGAAATATGGTTCAAACATTTTCTGAATCTGTGTAGTCACCACCCATTCCATCTTATCACGAGATCATACGTGACTCACGTCAAGAATAATGAGGCTGTGAAGAGGGGCCGTCTACATTTTGAGTGAAACTGACCAATAGACACTCAGGAAATCAGTAAGGACTGACCCGTCATGCCGCAAACACTTCATTCTTCATTCAGTCCACATCGGAGACACATGTGAAATGGCGTGCAAAGAGTTTGTAGCTGCTGAATTTGCTGCAGTGGTTTTGGAAGGCAGCAATGAAGATAACAGAGAACATTTAGATATGAAACATAAGGGTATCATATTATATGCAAGAGACTTTAAAGGAGAATTTTACAAAATATGCAAAAATCAGTGGTTAATCTACTTTTCACCCTGAATGACATGATTTCTTAATTCAGTCACTATTTATTTTGGTATGTACAGGAGCATGTTCTACCGAAAAACAAACAAGGTACTAGACAAGTTCTGGTAGAATCACAGTCCTTCAGAAGAGTTAGGATGGAGGTAAATGGTTCGGTAACACTTTCTATGAATGTCACCTTTTGTAAGCATCTATAGACACATACATAACATGTTATAATGCATTCATAAGACATTATATACATAGCTATAAATATTTATAAAAATGCATTATACATTATAGCCATGTTTATTATGCATTATGTGGGAAAGGTAATGTACACCACCATTAGCTTGGTATTTGTTTTTACTTTATGCTCTCCAAGCTGGGACTGACTTCTTTGGCACTGACATTATAACATGTTATTAACACTATTTATAATGCATTATATTAACAATTCATAACGTATAATAAACTTTTTTATAAATATTTATAACCCTGTTTATAATGCCTTATGAATACATTATACCATGTTATAAATGTGTTTATAGATGCTTACAAATGCAGCATTCATAGAAAGTGTTACCAATAGTTCTAGAAGAGCTAGTGTGAAATCAGAAGTTGCTAGAAGAGTTAGTTGTGGAATCAGAAGGTTCCAGAAGACTTAGGATGGAGAGTTAGGGTGATGCTAGAAGACACTTATGGAGTCGGATTTATGCGATAATCTACCATTCAGAGCAGGAAAATATATGAACCAGTTTCCATAAATGTGTCCATAGAGATGTAACTTGTGTTCTGAATGTGTGGAGCTGATCACTCAGAGCTTCTATTACACAGTCACAGAAATCAGCTCACAGAAGTCCACATGCTGATCTATTTTACTATGACCAACGTGGACAGCATGTGGACTCTGCATGCAGATTTTATTAACTGAAAGGGAAAAATACACACTAGATGTTAGACAAGACCATTTTTTACACCAAAGTTATAAAGTCAACTGCAAATTACTGAGTCAGTTCCTGTCCGTGGTGCTGAAACACTGCTGTCTGTGATGTGAAGCTGTAGGAGTCTTAGTATAAATGGTGGTAAATCCTCTGCTCTCAATTTAGCCAGAGGAATTTCTGATTTAATGATTATTTTTTAGCCATAAATCAGGTCACTGTCAGCAGAAGAGGTTTAACCATGTCTTCTAAAATTCCTCATCAGAATGTGTGACCTACTAATCCAGTGACCCAAGACATCCTTTCTGTAACAGCAAACCACAGCTGAGTTTAAGCTGTAGGTTATGGAAACATCAGCGAAACTGAAAGGTTTACAGATAATAATCCCTAACTATTTTAATAATAGTCATTTATTAATATTTAATTTTTCTGTTGGTGCTTAGAAATAATGCTCCATAAGCTCATTCCAATTTGCACTACTGTTTATATTTGCACTATTTATACCAACAGACCTTAATCTGAATGTGCCTTATGTCACTTTAGTGTTAATTTCAGGACCTCCTTATATTTATATTATTTATATTATTATTTTTTTTTATTATTATTCTATTTTTCTACAATTAGTGTTTATTTTGTTTACAATTAGTGTTTAGTTTACACCATGGGGTCTGAGAGTAACGCTATTTCAATATTCTGTATGTCCATATTGTAGTATTGACAATAAAAGCTGACTTGACTTGACTTTACTTGACTTGATAATCCCAGGAAAATAAATGTAGAAAAAAAAGGAAAATATGGGATATACAATAGCAGTTACTGTAATGAGGTTTATAGAGTTTATCATATTATGAAGTGTACATAGACCCCCCCCAACATACACACACACACACACACACACACACACATGCATATTAGTATACTATGAGCAATTTAAACATTTTGGTCAAGAAGTTTGCTACTGTGCATTAAAAAATAAACAGAAAACAGATATGAAAATATATTGACATAACAACTGTGATATGTCAATCTCGACACTTTTTACCTAAACATAAGTACATTTCAGTATTTACTTTGGTTCAAAGAAACTGAGTTTTGTTTCATATAAACCAAATACCTATGGAAAAAATCTGTTCCGTCCCATCAGCAAATCAATTTTAAGATGAGGTAACAAGGTCCCAGGATGCTTTTTGTGTGACTGTATATTATATTTGATCCGTTTTAACCTCAGAATATGTACTGAAATCAAAGCTCTCTACTCTCTTCTTCTTCTTCAGATGTTTCTGTCCACTGTTCAGGACATCCAGTGATGCATAACATACTTCATCTCCTTCTACCTACAATGAATTAAAAAAAAAAAAAAGGCATGTTTTATTGTGTTAAATTGATATAGAATGGATTAATAAAAAGTATACAATGTGTCAATTTTCAATTCACTTCAAAATTCAATTACAATTTACTTCTACAGGGTTTTGTACAACATACATTTCCACAAAGCAGCTTTAAAACAACATCCAAGCTCCTAATGAATAAGCAGAGGGTGACAGTTTCAAGCAAAACCTTGTCCCCCTGTCCCCTCTGAACCACTGAGAGGAACCAAGACTCATACATACAGTCCCTCTTTAATACAGTCTTCCATTTTAAGTAATTGTCTGGCTGAACTGATAAGCTTATCTGTGTATCATCAGCACAAAAATAAAACCCAGCATTATGTAGACTGAAAACAATAGGGGCCCTAAAACGACACAATAATCCACACTTTAGGCTCTGAAGCAGTGTAAGATGTGTTTTTTCCTCATGATGGTAAAGTATATATGTCTATGTGAAAATGGGCAACCACACATTTCCATAACAGTCCATATCAAAGCTGTTTATGTGTGATTGTGTATGAATATTCACATTGTGTATTAGTATTTTCCAGTACCTCATCATTTGTTCTGCTTTTCTGACTCTGTATTTTGTTCCTCCATTCCTGACCGGATTCTGCTTCTGCTATAGATGAAAAGATGACATATTCTTATGAAGTTATTATAACCACGCTAGACTCAATATCTAAAATCTAAAGGAGCTCCAGTTAGCGACGTTAACTCAGAATCTCCTGCTGTAAAGTAAAGAAGTCAGATGTCAGACATCATTTCTTGGCTGATCGACTGCATCTCGGCTATGTGATCAATTATGTTAGTTTGATTTTTTGCTTTTTCCTTTATTTCTTTAATATTCCTTTAAACTTTTAGACTTAGACATCCTAAGGTTTGTAATTCAGTAATAACATGGAAAATAATGCAAACTGGATGTGTTACTATTAAGTTAGAGGAGGAATGCAAATCTGGAACTGTTATTGATTCAATGAAGTTAAAGACATAAAGGTTACAATAGAAATCTTAATCACATACAAAACTTGTACACTAAGTGGTTAAACTGTAATTGACCATGAGAGAGGTCAAAGAAATATTGTGCAAGAGTGCAGTGAATTTAAGAAAGGTTTATTGTAGAAACAATCTCAGTAAGAATTGTTCAGGATAATCAGAGAAAGTACCTTTAGTTTTGTTGATGCAGATGCAGTACACACAGGTGGAGGAGATGACTGAGGAGAGGAGAACACACACAGGACACACACTGACCAGCAGCTTCCAGCAGACACTACAGTCTGACAAAGGGGTGGTTTGGGCAAAAGGGACTAAAATAAGTGAGAAAGTGGAAATTAATCAAAGCAGGAGAACGTTTGTTGACTGATTAGATAGAACTCAAGCCAGCTCATGAACCATTTCACATTCATGTTAAATAAAAAAAAAATCCCCATGTAACAAGAAACAATACATCAGAAAGAGTCATCTTACCGAGGAGAGAGAGTCGAGTGGTTCTGTTTCCATAATGATAAACATCTTCATAGAGTATAAATCCAGTTTTATCTTTGGTGACCTTCTTCTCATGTACAGCGCAGTAGTACAGACCCAGATCTGATTCAGAGACGTTCTCACCAGCAGATCATGAGCTTGGTTGGAGGAATTCAACACAGCAGAGTAACGTGGAAGATCACCACGCATCAAAAGTTTTATCGATATAAGGAGACGAGGTTGATGCTCATGTGAGCAGTTTCTGTACCAAACTGTATTAAATCACTCTTCCAAACACAGTCGCTGTAGAGAGTGACGTCGTCTCCTGGTCTGACTCTCATCTCCACTTCTGCTCCAGAGATCCTGGAGAACAAAACACCTGAAACACACAAAAAACACAAAAAGATGATCTCACATAACTTTACAGTACAGTCTTATTTAGAAAGGCTGTGGTGTGAAGAGTTGCTTCATATATAAAAGCAAATCAGTCCCAAATAACAAGATATGCTGTAAGATGAAAATGAAAAGATGTAAAAGTTACTTACAGATGAGAACAACGAGAGTGACTCTTGATCTGTCCATCTCAGAGACTGGTACTGGGGGGGGCTGATGACAGTGAGGGTCTTTGAAGCGGATGCCTGTGTTGAGATCTGATTGGTCCACGTCAGTGGAAATTTTCCGTTTACATTATCAGTATATCTGGGACGTATACGCAACCACATGCGAAAACAACACCAGCCAATCACAGGCTTCGTATTGGTCACCTTTCTTAGAAAAGCCTTTAATGCATTTGTGTCTGACATCTGATTGGTCCACGTGAATGGAATAGGTTTGGGGTGTGGGTTACGAGACGATGGGGGACTTTGGTAAACCAACTTCCTGTTTCCATTCAATCTGACTAAAGTTGGTTAGGTCAGCCTTTCTGGAGCACATAAACAGATTAACAGTGTTACGCTCAACCATAACAGGCGCTAAAAAGTGATTGAAGATTGTGTCAAACAGCACCATAAAAGTTTACTTTAAGATCAGCAACATATTACATTTGTCTAATAAGAGCTCACTTCAAAATACACAGTTACATCCAATCAAACACAGCACCACTGAAACAAACAAGGACCAAATTAAAGAGTTGTAATTTATCAGCAAAATGAAGAAACTGATTTGGTGGATCTTTCTGGAAACCAGTCATATACAGGTTCCAGGTCAGTCTAATTCTTTGCCCCAGGCCCAAAAGTGAGGACAGGCATGAAACATATATACAGCAGATCTTCTATCAGTCAGTAAAGGCAGTCAGAGTGCAGGGCCTCTTTGTGGGTTTCCTGTTCTAGTGTGACTGCATGTCTGAAGGAGGAGACTTACATAACAGTTTATCTGATAGACTAGCCAACCACATTTGTCTGGTCTAGTTTATTTTGTGTTCTTTGTGATTATGTTTTACGTTTCCCTGCAGCTGGGGAGTTTCACAGTCACAAGGCTGAGGACTCTGCTAGCAGAGAGACCTTCCTCCACAACTGAAGACTTTCCCCAGGCACGCTGGCATAGAGAGCTTTCCTTGCAGCTAAGGGGTAAAATTTCTGTGTGCATGTAAAAAACAATGCAAACTGGCTGAGTTTCTCTTAAATTGTAGGAAAAAAGTTGTAGGTGTCTGGACTGTTGGTGATTCCATTGAGTTTAAGAAGTTAAAGACATAGAGGTTACAGTGATGTTCAAAAATGTAATCTGATGTTAACAAATATTATACACATATAAGACTTGCACAATCAGTGTTGTTGACCATGAGAGAGGCCAAAGGTCTAAAATTATAGGAGAGTACAATGAGCAATAGATCAAACGTTGTCTTTGGTTAAGATATTTGAGTAAAAATGGTGAAGGAGAAAATTGTGTTAAATCCACCATATAACAGCAACAATTTTATGTATTAGATTTGCCAAATATGAGGTCCCACCAAACTTCACACACCTTACAAACTTTCATCAAATCAAATTCAGCACCACTGAAATAAGAGATGCATAAAAATCTGCCTGTACATTCTTATAACGTAGACTGAGTGGTTCTGACAGGTGAAAAGGTTTTTATATACAGGTCCTAGATAAGTACAGTACGTTAAGAGTGCTTGAAAGCTGGGCCTACTGATCAGTTATTAATGGCAGTCAGTGTGCAGGCCCTGACTTTGGGTTTCCTCTTGTATCCTTGTAGTCTAGTGAGGAGGGAAGATGTTTATTTGATCTGATATATTAACCTCCAAACTGTTTTTCACTGCCATGTTAACATCATCTTGAATCCTGAACATTTGGCCCACACCAGCCCTACACAACTAGCAAAAAGAGCTCTATATAGTACCATGAAACCATTGTATGATTATTGTAATAGTAGAACCCTTTTTAGGGCAATAAAGACGTTTCTAAATCACAATTTACAACAAGTTCTTCATAGAGAAGAACCATTTACCAATGCAGATATGTTTTGTTGTCACAGTTATATAATTACTGCTGATATAAAGAATCCTTGAGAGACCACTTTTGTGAACAGTGTTGCTTTGACCTGTTACCACAATGACTTGTGGAAGGCCCTTATTAAAGCTAACTCAAGCTGCCTCTAGCTGCTTATAGAATATTTGAAGGCTACAACAGAGCTTCTCTTCTTCCACACCCACACTTCTGCACTTCTTATCTCTAGTTCTATTTGTCCATCAGCTTCTATCCCAGTTCCTCCAGCCCTGAAGCTTTAGCCTCTTTGACTTTTGGTGACCCTGTCTTTCCAGCTATCGGTCCTTCAAAGTCAATAGTGTCCCAGAGGAAACTGTTCCAGGCTCCCATTCTGCTTACTGGATTTCTGGGAGGTGGTTTTCCATGAAATTCAATGATTACAGCTTCAGTTTTTTAAAACATAACCCAGACCACACTTGTGCAAACAGTGTCACCTTGAGCTCTCCTGTTCCCTTCTTTGGGCTTCTTCCTGTGCTTCCATGTAGAATGAACTTCTCTCATCTGTCCGCTGTGTCCTGTGCAGTCCCATCACTCTTAAATGCACACTTCCAAAATATTTTCCTGTTGACCCTGACCCTAATCTCCGCAACTGACCTGGTATCCAACCAGGAGCTCACACGTCATCCTACAGTGCTGTGAAAAAGTATTTGCCCCTCTTCCTCTATTTTTGTATTTTTCACTAAATGGTTTCAGATTCTCATACAGTATGATACTCATACTGGGCTGACTCCAGGGCTGCAGCACTCCCAGCCACCAGAGGGAGACAACGCACACCTCCAAGGTCCAATCAAGCCCAACGTCCTACACCTGGGCAGAGGGCTTTATAAGCACAGAGAAGAAGACACACATTGCTGTGTCTTTGTCTCATTGTGAGCCAACAGAGACGGCCGGTAATTTTGGTAAGATGGCTGAGAGTTTTGCACTCCCCCTCACCTTTTGAGTTTCTCCAGCCTCCTCTGGTTTCACTTTTGGTATGATATTCTCATTATGGAATGTTGTGTTAGCTTTATGGCAGATGTGACGGGACCCTTGTCAAACAAAATGTCCACTTTTGACTCACCAGTCCACAGAACGTTATTCCAAATGGCTTGGGGGTCATTAAGGTGTTCTGGCGTTTGAGACAAGCCTTTATGTTACTCTTGCTTAGTAGTGGTTTTTGCCTTGTGACTCACATGGATGTACTTTTTGCCCAGTCACTTTCTAATGGTGTAAACCCAAACACTAAACTCATCTGAGGCAAGTGAGACATGTAGTTCATAAGATATTTGTCTGGGTCACCACTCACTATCAATTATCTTTCAAGATTATCATAACATTCACATATTTTCTGTTCATTTGTAATCTATTTTTGTATATGTATTTGTTTGTGCTTGTGTTATGTCTTTTCAAGGGCTTGCTGAACATCTACCCATGTTCGTTAGTTCCAAGTTCCTAATCCAGCCCAGTCTCTTGTATGGCTTTTATAATATAGCTTCATTGGGTGTAGTTTGGCTGCCATTTTGTTTGGTTTTTGGGATTTGTCTTGTGTTACTGTCAGTCAGGGTGTTGGGGAAGCCATTGCATTTGTCTTTTAGTTTGTCTTCAAGTTAATGTGAGTTTTGTTAATCATTTTGGCAAATGGTTAACAATGTTACTGGTGATAGGACTTGTATATGATAGAATACACCCATTCTGCTAAGGCGTGACCCTAGACAAGATCATAATGGATCTAATTTAGAATGGAATCTCGTTTAACTAATTCTTCAGAGACAGACACTCGCACACTCAAAAAAGTGTGAAACAATTGGTACCCAGAGACATCATCACTAATATTCTTACTCTTATCTGTTAATGGCAACTAAATCACTGTTACACCCCATTATCCATTTCAAAAAAGTGAATATGGCTCAGGGTAAAAGGAAACATAACACAAATGATCAGGACAAGATGATGAAGCTTCAAGAAATGCCATTTATATTTTTTGTTTTTGTTTCTTTAGATCACAACAGAATAACAGCTTTAGAGTGGGCTTCCTGAGGTAACCCACAGAAAAAGGCACCCACCCCTACTCTTCATTAAGAGAAATGTACATACTGGCTTCAGGTTGCTCTTGTACAGGTCAACACCCACTTAGATAATGTAGACACTCTCAAAACAATTAACAGATAACCTAATAATATAAAGGTTAATAAAGGTTTATTGTATGAAAATATGCCAGCTAAAAAAATATGACAAAGTCTCTACATTAAGAAGCGGTGCTGGTGTGTTTAGTCTGATTTCAGAGATGTGTAACAAACTTCAGTGTGTAAGCAGAAATTTCTTTTCATAGTCCTCTCACACTGATGCTCCTCAGAACAGCCCACCTGATCAGAGAGAGAGAGAGAGAGAGAGAGAGAGAGAGAGAGAGAGACAGAGAGAGATTAGGGATTGCATAGTCTAGTCCAGTGTTTCTCAACACTGGTCCTGGAGGCCCACTGGCTCTGCACTTTTTAGTGTTTTTCTTGCTCCAAACACACCAGATCCAACTAATCAGCTCATTTACTGCCCATTATTGAGTTAAAGTTGGTGTGTTAAAGCAGGGAAAGCTCTAAAGGAGCAGTGCAGTGGGTCTCCAGGGTTGAAAAGTGCTGGTTTAGTCAAATATGTCCACTAGTAGGTGCTCTGGGCAGTCATGTACCTCTGTTGGCATAGAGTCCAAAACTAAAATACAACAAAAATTCTTCTGCAGTGTATATCCGCCTCAAATAGCAGCATCTTCCACTAGTCCCTACAAGCAAACCACTAAAAAAGCACTTTTTTATTATGGTAATGACAACAAGTCAATCAGCAGCTAATTCTTTAATGGTTTGTCAAGAACAACTAATGCACTACCAGTAACTATAACTGTCAATAACCACAGGATGAATTAATGATAATGAGGATGTTTCCACCTGAAATGCATTTTCAGTCAGTAGTTCTCTTCCCTCTTCATGTCCTGGAGCTAGAAAAAATCAGCATCAGTTTATCTAGTTTCAAAAGATGCTGCGAAGAGATGATCTTTCCTTGGAAATGCTGCTTCATCATGAGAATGTGATCCAAATAATTAAATTGTATGTGGCGCCCCCTCTGGTGGGAAGAGAGGATAATTTAATTTCAAATGCATTTGGTCTTATTTTAAGCAACTCATTGTTTATAGGCAAGTAACATTAGGAGTCTTTTCCAAGGTCTCTTATTGTGGTAGTGTGGTGTGGTTGCCCAGGCAGGAAATCGAGCCCCAGTCTGCAGTGTGGAGGACAGCAGTGTTGCCCAATATGCTACACCAACACCTGCAGTATCTTGAACAGGGTGGCTGGCCACACCTTAGCCTTGCGGGGCAACCATGAGACACTTTGGGTTAGATATGGGGTGGGGGGGGGTCTTATTAGTCTGAGAACAAACTGAGGGTGAAATTTCTAAACCAACCCAGCGCCCCTTAAAGGCAGAGATCAATGTATGTGGCACTGAGGCTCTTGTCAACATTATCTAACAGACAATAAGCCTGTTATTAGCACATGCATGTAAGTTAAGTTAGCATGGCTAAAAAAACGCCCCCCAAAAATGTGTCACGTGTGCAGAGACCACAATACATGCAGTAAAAATAAAGGTCTCACTTATATTGTGTCTCTAATTGTAATGTGCAGTTACACTTTAACAATGCATGCAACATTAATGTAAGTACTGGTGATGAATTCACTGATACAGATTGATTACAGTAGTACAGCTTATGTGAACAAAACTGTGTAAGTTTTTACTCATGTAATTGCAGAAGCACATCTCAGTAGTTGAAACAGCATATTGAAACAACCTACTAATTACTTAATAATTATCATATAATTATCTTAGGCAAAATAGGGTGAACTGCTGTTTTTTCCAACTATACATTTCTGACTGTAACAGGAGGGATGTAATTAGATGGACAGCAGATGGACATATATTAAAATACATGTGTAATTAACCCCTTTAAAGTTCCAGGTTGATTTCATATCAAGGCTTATTATTCAGTAACTATAGGGACTTCGGTGCAAACTAATGGAGCTGTTCTTAGGTTATAAGAGTGTGTAATAAAACTGGCTTGTTAAGGAGTTAAATAAGAAAAAAGTATACTGTTATAGCATCAAGATACACTTGTGTAATCACAAGAGGAAAATTTGAAGTTGACACACGTGTATTTACATAAGCTGTACTACTGTAATCTATGTGTGACAGTGAATTTTAGTAGTTACATGTAATTGCATGTATTATTAATGTGTAACTACAGAGTTATTAGAGGCAATTATATAAAGGACCAAATTTACCATATTTTTACATATTTTTATCTTGTTTTAAATAAAGACCTATTTAAAAGAAACAGCTATGTTAAAAAATATACTTTAGCCTAAGAAAACATCACTGGACTGGTAAGCAGTGGCTGTTTGTGGCCTCTAGCATTCACAGTTACAATAACACAGCCAGTGTAAATTTGATGAAGGATGAAATTGAGAGAGAAAGTATTGATGCAGCAGATGCCAAAGATGCACTGTTACACTGAATACATTTAGATCAAGTAATGTTATTCTTTAAGATATTTGAGTGAGAATAGAAGAGAAATAAAGGTGAGTACCTTTAGTTGTGTATCTGCAGGTGCAGTACACACAGGTGGAGAAGAGGAGAACACACACAGGACACACACTGACCAGCAGCTTCCAGCAGACACTACAGTCTGATACAGGAGGAGTGGAGGGGGTTTGGGGGAGATCAGTACAAGGAACTGAAAGTGGAGAGTACAACTTAGTTAAAGCAAGAGAACATAAAACAGTTTAACACAAATCTTCTCAACTGTTATACATTTATATTTAATTGTTTATATTATATTGCTACTTGTCACCACATATGAGAACATGAGACGGTATATTCTTACAGATTCCTGATCACATTACTAAGCCAGAATGAATAATCTTACCAAGTAGAGAGAGTCGAGTGATTCTTTTTCCATAGTGATAAATATCTTCAGAGTGTATAACTCCCTTTTTATCCTTGGTGATGTTTATCTCATACACAGCGCAGTAGTACAGACCCACATCTGATTCAGAGACGTTCTTCACCAGCAGATCATAAGCTTGGCTGGAGGGATTCCATACGGGTGTGTAACGTGGATGAGCACCACGTACCAAATCTCGAGTTGATATCATGAGAGGAGGTTGATGCTCACATGAGGAGTTTCTAAACCAAACTATTTTAAATGGAGCGTCTGAAAAACAGTCACTGTAGAGAGTGATGTCGTCTCCTGGTCTGACTCTCATCTCCACTTCTGCTCCAGAGATCCTGGAGAACAAAACACCTGCAAACACACCAAAGAAAGAACATAACTTTACACAAGTCTTATTTTGAAAGTCTTTAGTGTGATGAATTCCTTTATATATATATGAAAGTAAATCAACCACAAAAAGGAAGTGGTAAAGTTTACTTACAGACTAAAGTGATGAGAACAGCTCTTGATCTGTCCATTTCAGAGACTCGTGCTGGGTGGGTGACAATGGTGAGGGTCTTTGAAGCGGATGTCTGTGTTCACATCTGATTGGTCCACGTCAGTGGAAAATTTCTCTCTACGTTATCACTATATCTCAGACGTATACGTAACCACATGTGAAAACAACACCAGCCAATCAAAGGCTTCGTATTGGTCACCTTTTCTTAGAAGAGTCTTCAGTGTAGTTTTGTCTGACACCTGATTGGTCCATGTGAATGGAATTTTTCTCTTGTCTGATGTGTTTGTGAACAGGTTTGGGGTGAGGGTGAAGACACTGCAGGGGCCTTTGTTAAACCAACTTCCTTTTTTCTGTAGCACATAAACATTTCAACATTGTTATGCTCCACCATAAGCACAAGTAATACAAAAAAGGGTTTAAAAAATTGTGTCTAACAAACAAATACACAAAAAGTGTTAATTTTTAAGACCAGTGACTCTTTTTTGTACATTTTTATATCCAATGAACTTGCCAAATGAGAGGTCACTTCAAACGTCACACGTTGATTGACTGGTTCTGACCGGTGAAATGCTTTATGTATCACTGTTGTTGGAACAAAACTTTATATCTCCATTGTTGTTGTTTTTCAGTTTCTGTTTGTTGCCCATTACATTCCGTGTAAGTTTCATGATGAATGGACCAATGGAAATGTCCCAAAATTACTTGGAAATAAGTCTGGTTCCACTGACTTACATTAAAAGTAAAGTATGTTTTTTCCTTCTCCTATAAAGTTGTCATTTTGGAGGTACAAGGTTTTGTTCCAACAGCAGTGATATACAAGTCCTAGGTAAATTTAGTACACTGAGAGGGCCTGAAGCAAAAGCAAATCTTCTATCAGTTATTAATGGCAGTCAGTGTGCAGGATCTCATTGTGGGTTTCCTGTTGTATCGTGGCTGCAGTTTGTTGACTGCAGAGTTTCTAGTGGGGAGGAGGAGAGATGTTTCTGATATACTGACCTACTTGATTTTTTCACTGTTTTGGAAGCTGTTGACCTCTCCATCTCAGAGACTGGTACTGGATGGGTGATGATGGGGAGGTTCTTTGAAGCAGATGTCTGTGTTGAGATCGGACTGGTCCACATCAGTGGAATATTTTGTGCGATCTACGAAACATCATCACTGTGTTTTAGACATAATTACACATGAAAAACACAAGACAATCACAGGCTTTGCATTGGTGAACTTTCTTGTAGATGTAGATGTTTATCTCACCTGATTGGTCCACTTGAATGGAATATTTTTCTTGCCTGAATGTGTTATGAGCAGGTTTGGGGTGAATGTAAGGAGACTGCACAGGACTGTGGTAAATCCATTCAAAATTACAGGTTAATTTAGCCTTTCATAAAGAGTCAATCTAATACTTTACCCAGGCCTGAAAGTGAAGCCTAATCTAGTAGATCTGCTATCAGTCAGTAAAGTCAGTCAGAGTGCAGGGCCTCTTTGTGGGTTTCCTGTTGTAGTGTGAATTCAGAGTGTCTAGTGGGGAGGGGAGGGGGAGAGTTACACAGCTTAGATTATCTGATAAACTAATTAAACACATTTTTTGTCCATTACCATGGATGCTTTGATTTTTTTTTCAGTCTTTTTCCGTCATTTTCAGACTGATATTTTCAGTCTTTGAAGCAGGTGTCTATGTTGAGATCTGATCAGTCCACATCAGTCGAACATTCATCACTACTTACAGAACATCATCACTGTTTTTCAGACATATACATACTCACAAGCAAAAAACATACAAGTCTCTGGGGTCTATAAACTGTTGTCGAAACAAAACCTTGTATCTCCATGTTTTTCAGTTTTTGACATAATTTGAAAATGCATGTTGTTCTTTACACTGTGTGTGAATTTCATGATGAATGGACCAAAAAAACGACCCAAAATGACTTGGACAAAAGTCTGGCTCCGTTGACTTACATTAAAAGTAAAGTATGTTTTTCCTTCTCCTGTAAAGTTACCATTTTGCGACAACAGCCATATGTTTCTCTATCTTTGCGATGATATAGTGCTAAAATACAGTTCAAACATTTCCTGAATCTGTAGAGTCACCCTTTCAATTCCATCTCATCCAAACATTGTATGTGATTCACATCCAGAGTTATGAGGCTGTGAAGTGGGGCTGAGGAAATTACTAAAGACTGATTTGCCACACCGGAAACCCTTTATTCTTCATTCACTCCGCATCAGAGACACATGTGAAATGATTTGCAGAGTTTATAGCTGCTGAATAAGAAGGTGATGGGTGCAATGAGAACATTCCACAAGAGTTAGAATGGAGTACGAAGGTTCTGTATGTACTAGTATAAAATTGGAAGGTGCTAGAAGAGTCAGTGGAAGAATCAGAAGGTTCCAAAGTGGTAAGGATGGAGAGTTTGGGTGATGCTAGAGACATCATGGAGTCAGATTTAGGTGACAAACTACCATTCAGAGCAGGAAAATACAAGAACAGAAATGTGTCCATAGTGATGTAATCTGTGTCCTGCCCACTCTAACGCTATCAAAGTCCATCCAACAATGAAGGCAACACAGAGCTTCTTTATACAGTGCTAAAAAAACAGTTGTCCACATGCTGATCCATTTTACTGTGATCATCGTGGCCAAGAACACTCACCAACTTCTCATCAGAATGTGTGACCTACTAACCCAGTGACCTAAGACGTCCTTTCTTCAACAGCTGACACATCAAAGGTTAGGCTGAAGGTTATGGACACATCAGTGAAGCTGAGAGGATTTACAGATAATAACCCCTAATTACTTTAATAATAGTTTATTTTTATTAATGTATCACTTTTCTAGTCATGCTCAGAAATAATCCCAAGCTGAAGGAAACCTCAAGAACAAATGTAGAAAAAAGAAGAAATATGGGACATACAGTAGCAGTTACTGTAATGAGGGTTCTAGAGTATGAAGCAAACATAGAACCATCTACCCTCAATACACACATGCATATTAGTAAACTATTATTTAAACATGTTAGTCAAAAAAGTTACTATTGTGCATTAAAACAAACAGAAAACAGTTCTGAACATATATTGATATAACAATTGTATTAACAATTGACATACGATTCACATAGCAATTGATGTGTTTTTTTTTGTATAAGCCAAATATTGATGTGAAGTGTTTCAGTTCCGTCCCATCAGCAAATCAATTTTAAGATGAGGTAACAAGGTCCTGATACGCTATTTGTGTGTCCATATATTATATGCATTTTCCCATATATTATATTGGATCAGTTTTAACCTCAGAGTATGTACTGAAATCAAAGTTCTTGACTCTCTTTTTCTTCAGACGTTTCTGTCCTCTGCTCGGGATGTCCAAGGATGCATAACAAACTTCATCTCCTTCTACCTGCATTGAATTAAAAAAGTTTGCATGTGTTACTGTGTTAAAATTAAAAGGAAAGGATTAATGAAAATAATCAAATGTGTCATTTTTCAATTCACTTCAAAATTCAGTTAAAATGTACTTATATTGGGCTTTAAAAAAAAAAAAAGTGTGTAAGTTGCAAGAAAACTCCCTAAGTTCAAGAAGAACCACTGAGAGGAACCAAGACTCATACATACAGTCCCTCTTTATTACAGTCTTCCTTTTCAACTAGCTGTGAAATTGGCTGAACTGATAAGTATATCTGTATATCATCAGCATAAAATAAAAACCAGCATTATGTTTGTGGGTTACATGTTCCGGGGGCTATAAGTAGAGTCAAAACAATAGGGGGCCTAATAATAATGCACACTTTAGGTTCTGAAGCAGTGTAAGATGTGTTTTTTTTATCATGATGATAAAGTATTTATGTCTATGTGAAATGTTTCCGTGAGAGTCTATAGCAAAGCTGTTTAGTATGATCATGTATGAATATTCAAGTCGTATGTATGTATTTTCTAGTACCTCATCAGTGTTTCTGCTTTTCCAACTCTGTGTTTTGTTCCTCCATTCCTGACCAGATTCTGCTTCTGCTGTTAATGAAAACATTACATATTCATACAAAGTTATTCGAATCAAGTTAGACTTAATATCTAAAAATCTAAGGCAGAGCTGCCCAAAGTGTGGGCCGCAGGACAAAGTTTGCCTGTGAGCATGTTTGATTTGACCAGTCAAAGGTTACCCAACCCCATCTTCTTACCTAATGATAGCAGAAATATATTTGTATACTTTATATAAAGCATTATATTCTTATTTTATAGAATCACAGTGTACTATTACAGTTTTTTGGTCATGGGTCCATCACATTCTGCTTTATCCCCAAGGCAAAAAGTCTAAGCACCCCTGAAAATACTTTTTACTCCAGATGAAGTCAATCAGCCAAGACAAGTTTGCTTCTCTAGTTTACAGCGGCAGGTGCTATGCTAACATTGCTAACAAAAGCCATTGTTGGATTCTCACCAAGCTCATTTCAGAAATACATGCCCAAAACATCTTTCAGTCAGTTCAAAATGCATCAGATCTTCATTTGTTTCATGCAGACTTGTCAATATAGTTTAGATCACATTATGACTTACTTCAGTTTATAAAAACAAAAAATAAACTTCTCCACAAAGATGAAT